AAATTGATGTAGAAGAAATATAAATTAAAGAAAGAGAATTGGAATTTGGAAAATTGGAAATATGAATTAAAAATTGCAAAAACTAATAAAAATTAAAATTTGAGCAAATTGATAACAAAGAGATTAAGAGAATAAATAAATAATCGAGAGATTAGAGATTAGAGAATATGAGAGAATGAGAGAATTTGAGTTGTGAGAAAAATGTGAGAGTTTAGGGCCAATTTATAGAAGAAAAAAATGATGGAAAAGACCCCTCCAACGGCTATATTTCAAGGGTAAAGGGGTAATTTGAAAAAAAAAATTTCAATTTTTTTTTGGCCAACCCGCGGGTCAACCTGACGGGTTGGCCGTTGGTGTGTAACAGCCAACCCGCAGGTTGGCGGTCCTTTCTTTAGAAAGGACAAAACAGCAACCAGCGGGTACAAAACAGCAACCAGCGGGTCAGCGGATTGCCATTTTGCAACCCAGCCTGCTCGAGGGTTGCTGCTGGGTTAGGTTGAACCCGGCTCGCCTTATTGGCGGTCCGGGTTCAACCCTCTTCATTGTGGGCTGGGTTAGGGTTGACTCGTCTAACCCGACCCATTTGTTCCACCTCTACTTCCAACATGAAATATACATTTTTTTCAAAAGAATTATAACTCTCCTGAGGTTTTTTAAATTATAAAAATCCCCCTATTATTAAGTTCTAGGTGTTAAAATAAAGGATATGAAGGTAATTTGACAAATATTCGTTGGCTTGTAATATTATAAGTGCAAATGACTCAATAACAATAAGAAGATTTTGTTATTTTATAAACTCTAGAGGAACTTTTGTTAATACACCATACCTCAGAGGTTTAATGGTTAGCTCCTTTTCAATATATTTAATAGAAATTAACTGGGCTGATTTTCATATCTTAATAGAGTAATACTACACATACATCATTTTCATACAACATTTCTCATACAATATTATGTGGCAAGATATGATTGACCAATTTAAAGTTAAAATTAAACTTTCACCCAATCATATCTTGCCACATAATATTGTATGAGAAATGTTGTATGAGAATGATGTATGTGTAGTATTATTCATCTTAATAATGTAAAAGAAATTATAAAATTTCATTTAAAAAAACAAAATTTTCAAGCCATTTAATAATATTTTTACTTAAATTCTTTTAAAACCAAATATTCTCTCACAAGTTATTAGGAGTTTATGGTACATTTCTTTCAATCGAAAATGGTTTTAATTCTCGAGATAACATACTAATGAAATACAAAAACAAGAAGAATAATTAAACCAAAAATATGATTAAACTAAGAAGATATCCTCCATTCACAAGCTTTGTTTCATCCATAAAACTTGAAGCAATAAGAATTACCAACAAGGGAATTAATATTAGAATTTGTAAGCCCCAGAGGAAACAATGTAAGAACTTAAAAGGGAAATGACGAAGCCAAAATACGTAAGAGAAATATAATCTATGATTAGGCCTTCTAGCAATCTTCTTATGAATATACATATTTCTTATTTAGGGGACCAAATATTAATCAAAATAGGGCGTTTTGTTGCTAAATATATCATTGTGAGTATACCAATAATCAATAATACTATACTTATAAAGAAATCTTATAAGAATTTCCATACAAAGTGATGTGGCAAAAAATGAATGGAATTTTCATTCATTCCATTCATTTTTTGCCACATCACTTTGTATGAAGATCTTTGTAAAATATCTTTGTAAGTGTAGTATCACTCACCAATAATTATGGAAATTAGGTAAGTTTAAAGGTTTTTAAATTCAAAAATACGATTAATAATCATCTTATTTTACTTCTCACTACCTAAAAAAATAAAAAATTCAAAGATTAGCTCATATAAAATCATAAAAATAAATTTGAAAAATTTGGAAAATGAATATTCTAATTTTGGTGGCAGCCGAAGAAATAGCGGCTAGGTATCTCTAGCTAGAGTAATATCGTCATAGATTCTGCCACGTGGAAGTATTTGACTGAATCTGGCACGTGCTCGTCACACTTCCTTCATCCCTTCGACATTTTCTCACTTTCTCGCGACAAGAACAGAAAGTACTCTGCTCTTAACCAAAAAGGCAAAAAAAAAAAAAAATTATCCCCCTGTTTGTTTATATAAATTTTCTTTTCGAAAGCTCTGGAAAACCATTCTTATATTCTAAAACCTGCGAAAAGGTAAAAGCTTTATCACCCTCTCTCAGAAAAAAACTGCCTTTTTCCGGGAAAATTTTGTGCAGGTCATTTTCTGTCTAAACAAAAAAAAAAAAACTATTCATGTTGTTGAGCATCAAAAGTTTAAGTCTTTTAGGTCATTATTTGCTCGGAAAATGTGAAAAAGGAAAAAGAAAATGAATAGTTTTAATTTTTAAATAGCTTTTTTAATTTAATTTTTTTTTCTTCNATAACATGAACTTACATGACCTGGAAGCAGGTAAATAATGAAACAGAAGGCAACGTTGAGCCGTTTTATAACCTCAACAGGCATGCCTGGAGCTCTTTCAGCTTCTATATATAACTTGCAGATACGAATAAGCTTTGGTAAGTATTGCGCAATGATGGTATATTTTAGCCACTTCACTTTATCAATAAATTCCGAGCCTCTTGCCCTTCTTATGATCAAAGTCATCACCTGGACACAGCTTTTTATCAATAAGTTTATTTTATATGGCCAAATATCCTTCTATGTAAGAAAATAAGATTACACCTTCTGACACGTGTCAACTTCTAACTATCCTACTCACGGCGGACATTGTTTACTTTGGCGACGCTTTCCACCTCATCATTTTGTTTTCTTCCCATTCGTTCCAGAGACCAAATTTATACATGAAAGAGAGTAATGTTATAGTTATCAATGGTATGCACCAAGTTTGTGCATCGAATGATGTGATTAAATTTTGATCGTTGATTTATTATCAACTAATATTAATCAACGGTCAGGATTTTACCACGTTATTTGGTGTACAAATTTAGTGTAAACTTTTGGATAATTCTGTCATTTCATGCTGATACACTAATTTTCCTGTTTTAGTAGAGAAAATTTTCAATAAATTATACTACATCTTAATTACCTGTGGGAGAGGAAGAATGCAGAGGGCATCTAAGACAACAGAAATTATTCGCCTTCGTCTTTCGTGATAGCAGATGAAGATTATATGACACGAGTCAACAAGAAGCAGAATAAGGCATACTGCAATCATCAAGTTCGTGTCCAACCGAAGGCATTTTTTGTGATCATTGACGTGAAAAATGTAGAAGAACAAGGGATCCAACATTGTAGATATTATGGAGAGCCAAATTGAAGTCCACTTGTAGGGAGTCTCCTCCAGTGGGTGAAATATATTCCTCAATCGAGGAGGCAAGTTTATGGACGCCAAGACTCCTTTACAAAAGTCTGCAATGTCTCCCCTTAACTGTGCTGCCATATCTTCTTCCAAATTCTAGTTCTGGAAACTGAACAAACACGAAGGTTTAATATCAAAGTTGAAGTACCACTGACTAACTCATTAGATATCACGAAAACACAAACCTTCAATAACAAAGTTGGAACTGGAAGTAATAACTTGGTCAGATTCTCAGGCTCGTGTATGTAAAGATCCGCATATACCACCTTGATGATCACCTTCCTTGAATTCAAGGAAAGAAGAAATAACTTGGCCAGAAGACAGAAGAGATGAAGCAATACCTTCAACGAAAATATTTTTATCAATAAGAAGTTGGTGAAGGTTTCAAATTTAACGCTTTGTAAAGTGCAGGGAATGGGCAATCCTTACTTGAATGCCACTCGCTTAACCCTCCACTCGCTTTTTCAGAGTTTGGTAATCACTCGCTTGTATTTATGCTTGCAAAAATTAGCGATGCCTCCCCTTAACCACGAGTGTTTACAAAACGTGTATGAAGAAAGTTGGCATATATATAAACGTGTATGAAGAAAGTATATATATATCTTGTTTGTCCGGCCCTTTCCTAAAATGTTGGCTATCGCAGTTATTTCCGGCTGAAAATAGCTGTTGAGACCAGTTTTGATCGAAAATCAGCATAAGCTGTAGGATGATAACCTGCAAATTCATTCTGATTAATTGAGGTCAGCCAGGTTATAATTATTCTTTGAATATGTACACGAGTTTTTTGGATCTTTCTTAGCAGGTTTTCTTTTGTCACTAGCATAATATCTTTATCTTTAATTTTTCTAGAAAAATTGCGCTAATACAATAATATATAGGGATTAAGCGAAGTATGTTCTTCTCTTTTGCAGCAAGCTGCGTAATGTTAAACAAAGGAAAATATATTGTGGAAGCTGTTTCAACTTTGGATCCCATCCCCACCTAACACTTGTCAGACGAAAGCAGACCTGAACCTCTTCTACTTTGGAGGCACTTTTTTCACTGAAAAGTTTTCTCTTGTATATAACCATCCTTTTCTAATGCACACTAGATGATATAATCTCAACTCCCGTACATTGTCTTTGCTTGAATGCAAACTTAGTATCTGCTACTATTGTTTCTTTCAACGACCCATTTTTGTCATCAGATTTTGGTGTTCTAACCTACCTTTCTGCAATAAAACCTGGGATAAGAACTGATATTGAGGTCGCTACCTTGAAATGAGGTGATCCTGTTTACACACTCAAATTAAACTGTATACTTGTACATTGTTGTATGTATAGTTAAATTTTCAAAAAGGTGGTTTTCTCCTTGGTCTCCAGACTTCAGTAAAACACACGATACCCTTGTTACAAGAAAATATAACAAAAGGTCAGAAAGAATTATAACTCGTCTGATTTGGAGCCCTAGATGCCTAGGTTTGACCCGCCCCTGCATTCAAAGATTCGTGTACAACCCTCCCTCAGGTCTTCAGCCATTAGAGCAAATGCTTCAACTCAGTTAAAGCACAAAGAGTTCCATGAGCTGGGCAATGGGGGCAATGGTTTAGTATCAATAGCCCATCTGTGAAGTTCTTCACCCCAATAGTCACCCGCCCTGAGGACAATGTCTCCACCGTTCGTACTCGTTGTAGCTGCCTTGCATCACGAAGAGCATCTGCCTAATTGGCTCATCCTGCCTTACAAGGTAGACCGTCTCGTGTATAGCACTGGCTGAAGCGGTTACACATTTGGTTAAAAAATTGTTCCTCCCTTCCCAAATTGTGGCACCTAATTAAACAGATCCAGGATTAATAGACATGTCAGTCAAATTCTGATTGGTCATTCACTAGCTTTTTTTTTAAATTCTTCATTTAGCCCCGTTCTGTATTTTTTCACGTTGATTATTGAAAAGATAATCATAATGAGTAGAAAGTTGAAAACGACTCACCTTCCTGAGCACTGGCAGACCAAGTTCTCTTTTTATTTGGTTACACAGGTGCTCTGGGAGAGAGTTGAGATAATGTTCTGCATCAAATTGTTGGTAATTCGCGTAAACCTCCCTTTGAAGATTCTCAGGGAGCATTCTAAAGGTTCCCGCCTGCCTTGTCTCTCGTGCCCTCAATCTTCTCTCCTCTAATCTTTGGGTTCCAAATTGCAGATATATCTGTTTCACACATGAAACACAGTTAACCTCATTGTTCTTTTGTAATTCATCTATCCGTAGCATAATAATCAACTATATAGAGAACAGAACTAGAAAATATATAGCAACCTGCAATCTCCCATACACAAGGATTAACATGAGGCTAGTTAGAAAGATCCAAATCACGAACAGTTTTCCCAACATCACACTCCACTGCGGCCTTGGGCCATAGAACTGCATGCAATTGATACATAAATTTTAGTTAATAAAAGGCACATGCTCAACTTGTTAAAGGGTCCGCAAGAGAGTTAACATGTAAGTTTTAATTACTAACAAAGGAAGCATTTTGCTTACTTATGTAGAAGAAGAAAAGACTTCCCCAGCCTGGGAGTCTCGAATGAAAGGGTGACCACCCAAGACATAACAGATATGTGAAGTACGTAATATCATAAGAATAAAAAAATAAACCACACAAGGAGATTCCTAAAAGAGTCAGGAGCCCTGGACACGCTAAGGACCGAGCAAAAAATTGGCATCAAGAGGCAAGGATTTACAATCCTTATTCCTTATGTTAAAAAAGAAAGGAAGTACTTAATTTACACACGCTGGAATGATAAAAAGATAAAAGCTCCGCAAATCTCTTATCCAAAGCTACAATCTTATGGGCTTCTTGCTAGTACATTACTAGCAAGAGCCCAAAAAGTTAATGGCTAGTTTAAACATTAGAATAGGGGTTCAGTTATGCCTCTTCTGTTTTGGACAGCCTCTCTTTCGAATGAGGTGGAAGAACGTGTCCCCTCTTTCTTTGACCCCGCCTTCTATTGTTCGCAATTCCTTCTAGCTTCAAAGATTACAAAATTACCCTATTCATCTTTCTATTGTTGCGCAAAATTCCTTCTAGCTTCAAAGATTGCAAAATTACCCTATCATCTCACACGTGTCAACTTCTTACAAAATTACCCTTCTCTTTCAGCGGTTCCCTCTTTCTTGACCCGTTCAAACCAACCAGCTGGCATATATAATTCCTCATATGTGTAGCTATTATAGGGACTTAAAAAGCGTTAGAATTAGATTCATATATATTCATTGACTCTATTAATGATATATTAAAAATTTATTATTATTTTTAATATATATATATATTAAATATAAATATTAAACGGCTTTTTTAACACCGGTTAACCGCTTTTTAAACCGAACTAGTTTTTCGGTTTGAAAAAATTTCTGAACCGAAACGAACCGGTTTTGAGGGAAAACTGATTTTGAACTGGTTTTCCCTTTTTTTATAATTTTTTATTTTTTTTTTCCTAAATATTATAAATATAAATAATACATATCCAAATAAAATTAGACAATCATATATATCCATTGACCATTACAAACGATACATTAAAATATTATTATTTTTATTTAATTATATATATAATATTATATATTAAATATTCCTCATATGTGTAGCTAGTAATAGCAGAACTCAAACTATCTTTCAACAACCAAAGCATTTATATGTGTTATGCAGTTTTTTATATGGATAACCCTCTCTTTATTTTCAATGATTTTATATATTTATATACATATAGAACAAACCTTGTAGTTATCAATCCCCATCTTAACAGTAGAAGAGCTTGGGCATAAACTTTTGTCTCCTCCACAATACCATATGAAGAGCATCTTGGAATATCCCGAAATCATATGAACAGGCTTCTTTCCAGCAATCAGTTACTCTTTCTATAGCCATCAAATACCATAAGCCTCCAAATACCTAAAAGATCAGTGACTTTTTTTGGTAAAAATTATATCAATACATTGCCTTAATGAACTACATTAGCTTAAATGTTTCTAAATACTATATATCTACATACATTTTGTATATCATTACTTGGAGAGTGCAACAAACTTAATTCATTATCTGGCTCTAAAAGGCCTTGACATTGAGCAGCTGAGGGAAGATCTCTCTTTTACTGGTCTTTTGAATTTGAAGACTATCAATTCATACGTTCTTGCATGTCTAAATGCCGGAATCCAACTATTGGAGAACCGGAATACTACTTCTCTAGATAAAAAAGAGAACATTAGTGTGGGAAGTTGCACTCAGGAAATATTGTACCAACAGCAAAATGAGAAGTTCACAGTTAGAGCGATGAGGAAGAAACTGTTGTCCAATAAAGAGTTATTGTTGGGCTCACTTCGGGGTAACAGAACTACTCAAGTTATGGTGACAATTGGGCAAGAGGCCACCGAGAGTGACACACTTATAGGTGACGTTCTTAAGGCTGGTGCCTCCATTATTAGGATAAATTGTGCTCATGGAAACCCTAGTGTCTGGAGTGAAATAATCAGAAGAGTAAAAAGAACTTCTCAAATGCTGGAGATGCCATGTCGAATTCTTATGGATTTAGCTGGACCGAAAATCTGTACAGGGAGCTTGAAGCCTGGTCGATGTGTAACTAAAATATCCCCCAAGAAAAATGCTACTGGAAATGTGATGTTTCCAGCTCAAGTTTGGCTTTCTTACAAAGGATCAGATCCTCCTCCTCCTCCTTCTCACTTGTCTCCTGATGCAGCTCTGTTCATAGATGACCAAAGATTTCTCAGTGAGCTCAAGGAAGGTGATACTTCGAAGTTTTATGATGCCTGAGGGAAAAAAAGGACTCTCAAGATTATGTGGTGACGTGGCCCTTATTTGCCACGGTGGAAGTCAGCATAAGTGTTCAAGTCAACTCTCTTATGCGACGTCGTTTTGGGCCAAACCTAAAATGCTGTCTGCTTTGTTGGGTTATCTCATTTTTTCGCAGACACCATTTTCTCTCTCTTTTCTGTTTCTGCTCCGACAACTCACAACTTTTTTGGAAGGTTCCCGAATTGATTTTGAGACCTTGCGGTTATGGAGAATCAGAGACAGCTGGATGATGACTCAGGCGTAGAGCATGTGTATTTAACACCTGCTGGTGCTAGAGGGAAAGGAAGATTTCGGGTTGAGAGAGTTAGGGCTTTTCAAAATTGGTGTGTTCTTTCCTTGTTTAATCTTTCCCTTATGTTCTGATGGAATCATTATCATTGTACACTCTTGATTGATAATAAAAACCCTAGTGTGAGCCTTGGAGAGTGGATGTAGGCTGTAAAGCCGAACCACTATAATTTTGCTGTGTCTTGTTCTATTCTTGTTTCTATTTATCTGTCATGAGTTCGATTGATGATCTGTTGCTAGATTTTCACCACTGAATTAGGTTTTCATTAACCCTAGAAACTTAACAGATTACTAGACAGTTTCATGTTTTTTCTGGTACAGGGTTTGTGGCTGAATGTACAAGGACTGCTTATGTTCAGTCTGGGACAGAATTGTATACTAAAGTAAAGAAAGGTAGGCTCTTAGCTGGAAAGGTGGTGGATGTCCCTGCCAAAGAGAAATTTATCAGATTGAGAGTTGGAGACCTGCTAGTCATATCACGAGATGGTTCATTGGAACAGGAAGATTTGTCTGGTCCAGCTGGTGGTGCTCATAGGATAACTTGTTCTTCTGGCTATCTATTTGATTCAGTCAAACCTGGAGAGCCTATAGCTTTTGATGATGGAAAGATTTGGGGAGTAATCCAGGGAGCAAGTAATTCAGAGATTGTTGTCTTTATCACTCGTGCCGGTCTTAGAGGTGCTAAACTTGGCTCAGAGAAATCCATAAACATCCCGGAAAGCAATATTCGGTTTGAAGGTCTTACTACAAAGGATCTCATGGATCTTGAATTTGTTGCCTTGCATGCCGACATGGTGGGTGTTTCTTTTGTTCGAGATATTAGTGATAATGTTGTGCTCCGTCAAGAATTGGAGAAACGGAAACTTCAGAACCTGGGTATTATTTTGAAGATTGAGACAGAGTGGGTTTGAGAAACTGCCTCTTATGCTTTTGGAAGCTATGAAATCATCAAATCCTCTGGGGGTTATGATTGCGAGAGGAGATCTTGCAGTGGAGTGTGGGTGGGAAAGGTTGGCTGATATACAGGAAGAAATTCTGTCTATTTGTGGAGCTGCCCATGTACCAGTCATTTGGGCAACTCAGGTTCTAGAGTCACTTGTCAAGTCTGGTGTCCCTACCAGAGCTGAGATTACCGATGTTGTCAATGGAAGGAGGTAAGTGTCCACTTCGTTACCCTGGAAATTCATTATATTGATCAGAGAAGTTCCATTGATAGAGGTTCATCTTCACTCTTGCTCGTGTATCTATGGCCTGATGAGAATGATAAGACCTATATAGCCAATTTTTAGATATTTTCCATAGGTACCTAAGATTATTAGCATTTACTACTGCTTTTGCAAGTCAGTTAATTTCAAAAAGGATGGTGTTCTCCTTGGTCTCAAGACTTAACTAAAACGCACGTTATCTTTGTTGTCCTGGCCATCTTGCCTTAAAATGTTAGGCTATCGCAGTTATTTCCGCTGAAAATAGCTGTTGAGACCAGTTTTGATCTGAAAATCAGCATAAGCTGTAGGATGATAACCTGCAAATTCATTCTGATTAATTGAGGTCAAGCCAGGTTATAATTATTCTTTGAATATGTACACAGAGTTGTTTTGGATCTTTCTTAGCAGGTATTTCAGTTTGTCACTAGCATAATATCTTTATCTTTAATTTTTCTAGAAAAATTGCGCTAATACAATAATATAGGTAGGGATTAAGCGAAGTATGTTCTTCTCTTTTGCAGGGCAAGCTGCGTAATGTTAAACAAAGGAAAATATATTGTGGAAGCTGTTTCAACTTTGGATACCATCCTCCACCTAAACACTTGTCAGACGAAAGCAGACCTGAAGCCTCTTCTACTTTGGAGGCACTTTTTTCACTGAAAAGTTTTCTCTTGTATATAACCATCCTTTTCTAATGAGCACACTAGATGAGATTAATCTCAACTCCCGTACATTGTCTTTGCTTGAATGCAAACTTAGTATCTGCTACTATTGTTTCTTTCAACGAACCCATTTTTTGTCATCAGATTTTGGTGGTTCTAACCTACTCTTTCTGCAATAAAACCTGGGATAAGAACTGATATTGAGGTCTGCTACCTTGAAATGAGGTGATCCTGTTATTACACATCAAATTAAACTGTATAACTTGTACATTGTTGTATGTATAGTTAAATTTTCAAAAAGGATGGTTTTCTCCTTGGTCTCCAGACTTCAGTAAAACACACGATACCCTTGTTACAAAGAGAAATATAACAAAAGGTCAGAAAGAATTATTAACTCGGTCTGATTTGGAGCCCTAGATGCCTAGGGTTGACCCGCCCCTGCATTCAAAGATTCGTGTACAACCTCCCTCAGGTCTTCAGCCATTAGAGCAAATGCTTCAACTTCAGTTAAAGCACAAAGAGTTCCAGGTGAGCTGGGCAATGGGGGCAATGGGTTAGTATCAATAGCCCAATTGTGAAGTTCTTCACCCCAATAGTCACCCGCCCTGAGGACAATGTCTCCACCGTTCGTACTCGTTGATAGACTGCCTTGCATCACGAAGAGCATCTGCCTAATTAGCTCATCCTGCCTTACAATGTAAGACCGTCTCGTGTATAGCACTGGCTGAAGACGGTTACACATTTGGTTAAAAAATTGTTCCTCCATTCCTCCAAATTGTGGCACCTAATTAAACAGATCCAGGATTAATAGACATGTCAGTCAAAAATCTGATTTGTCATTCACTAGCTTTTTTTTTTAAATTCTTCATTTAGCCCCGTTCTGTATTTTTTCACGTTGATTATTGAAAAGATAATCAATAATGAGTAGAAAGTTTGAAAACGAACTCACCTTCCTGAGCACTGGCAGACCAAGTTCTCTTTTTATTTGGTTACACAGGTGCTCTGGGAGAGAGTTGAGATAATGTTCTGCATCAAATTGTTGGTAATTCGCGTAAACCTCCCGTTGAAGATTCTCAGGGAGCATTCTAAAGGTTCCCGACTGCCTTGTCTCTCGTGCCCTCAATCTTCTCTCCTCTAATCTTTGGGTTCCAAATTGCAGATATATCTGTTTCACACATGAAACACAGTTAAACTCATTGTTCTTTTGTAATTCATCTAATCCGTAGCATAATAAATCAACTATATAAGAGACAAGAACTAGAAAAATATATAGCAACCTGCAATCTCCCATACACAAGGAAAATTAACATGAGGCTAGTTAGAAAGATCCAAATCACGAACAAGTTTTCCTCAACATCACTACTTCCACTGCGGCCTTGGGCCATAGAACTGCATGCAATTGATACATAAATTTTAGTTAATAAAAAGGCACATGCTCAACTTGTTAAAATGGGTCCAGCAAGAGAGTTAACATGATATAAGTTTTAATATTACTAACAAAGGAAGCAATTTTGCTTACTTATGTAGAAGAAGAAAAGACTTCCCCAAGCCTGGGGAGTCTCGAATGAAAGGGTGACCACCCAAGACATAAACAGATATGTGAAGTACGTAATATCATAAAGAATAAAAAAATAAGACCACACAAGGAGATTCCTAAAAGAGTCAGGAGCCCTGGACACGCTAAGGACCGAGCAAAAAATTGGCATCAAAAGAGGCAAGGATTTACAATCCTTAATTCCTTATGTTAAAAAAGAAAGGAAGTACTTAATTTACACACGCTGGAATGATAAAAAGATAAAAAGCTCCGCAAATCTCTTATCCAGAAGCTACAATCTTATGGGCTTCTTGCTAGTACATTACTAGCAAGAGCCCAAAAATGTTAATGGGCTAGTTTAAACATTAGAATAGGGGTTCAGTTATGCCTCTTCTGTTTTGGACAGCCTCTCTTTTCGAATGAGGTGGAAGAACGTGTCCCCTCTTTCTTTGACCCGCGCTTCTATTGTTACGCAAAATTCCTTCTAGCTTCAAAGATTACAAAATTACCCTATTCATCTTTCTATTGTTGCGCAAAATTCCTTCTAGCTTCAAAGATTGCAAAATTACCCTACTCATCTCACACGTGTCAACTTCTTACAAAATTACCCTTCTCTTTCAGCGGTTCCCTCTTTCTTTGACCCGTTCAAACCAAACCAGCTGGCATATATAAATTCCTCATATGTGTAGCTAGTAATAGGGGACTTAAAAAAGCGGTTAGAATTAGACATTCATATATATTCATTGACTCTATTAATGATATATTAAAAATATTATTATTATTTTTAATATATATATATATTAAATATATATATATTAAACGGCTTTTTTAAACCGGTTAACCGCTTTTTTAAACCGAACTAGTTTTTCGGTTTGAAAAAATTTCTGAACCGAAACCGAACCGGTTTTGAGGGAAAACTGATTTTGAACTGGTTTTCCCTTTTTTTATAAAACTTTTTTATTTTATTTTTTCCTAAATTAAATTATAAATATAAATAATACATATCCAAATAAAAATTAGACAATCATATATATCCATTGACCATTACTAACGATACATTAAAAATATTATTATTTTTTATTTAATATATAATATATAATATTATATATTAAATAATTCCTCATATGTGTAGCTAGTAATAGCAGAACTCAAACTATCTTTCCAACAAACCAAAGCATTTATATGTGTTAATGCAGTTGTTTAATAATGTAGATAACCCTCTCTTTAATTTTCAAATGAGATTTTATATATTTATATACATATAGAACAAACCTTGTAGTTATCAATCCCCATCTTAAACAGTAGAAGAGCTTGGGCATAAACTTTGTCTCCTCCACAATACCATATTGAAGAGCATCTTGGAATATCCCGAAATCATATGAACAGGCTTCTTTCCAGCAATCAGTTACTCTTTCTATAGCCATCAAATACCATAAGCNTTTCGACAGAGTCGTTCAACACTATGATAGGGTTCTCACTATCAAGATTTGAAACACTTGATACCCTCGTCACGGTTCTACCATTCTAAGGACATATATCAATACATATTGTAATAATAATGATTTATGCGATATAGAATAAGATGCCTTTTATTATTGATTAATGAACATTATTACAAAGAGTCAATTCTACAATAATTGATTGGCTCTAGGGCACCTACTCCAACATATGTAACATATTTCCTTCCATGCACTACTACAAATAATCGTTCATCATACTCAGTTTATAAGTTATTTAAACATAATGGTCCACGATTATGTCTTAAAAGACTATATATCCTATTTTCTTTGTCAATTATGTATACATCAATACAAGAAATAGGAAATTTATGTATATTAGAAACACAAATTATTGAGCTCAGAGTGTCAATGCATCAATTATTATAACCAAGACCCATTCTAACTACATGTTCTTTAAATGTCTTTGGTTGCAATCCTTTAGTTAAGGGATTTGCAATCATGAGATTTGTCCTAATATGTTCAATAGACACTCGTTGTTTTTGACCTCCTCCTTAATGGCAAAATACTTTAATTCTATATATTTAACACCTCTTGAGTATTTGTCATTCTTGGATAAGAAAACTGCTGCAGAATTATCACAGTAAATTTTTAGCAGCTTGATAATGGTGCCGACAACCTCAAGTCCTGAAATAAAGTTACGTGGCCATAATGCATGAATTGTAGCCTCAAAACATGCCACAAACTCTGCTTCCATAGTTGATGAAGCGATGACAGTCTGCTTAGCACTTTTCCATGGGACTACTTCTCCAGCTAATAGGACCAAATAACCAAAAGTAGATTTTCTGCTGTCAAGGCATCCAACAAAATCTGAATTTGAATATCCGATTATTTCTAAACGATTAGATCTTCTATATGTGAGCATATAATCCTTAGTTCCTTGCAGATATCTTAAAACTTTCTTCATAGCTTTCCAATGATCAATTCCCATTACTTTGATACTTGCCTAACATACTGACAGCAAAACTGATGTTTGGTCTAGTACAGGTTTGTGCATACATCAAACTGCCAACAACCGAAGCATATGAATTGATTCCATTTTCTTTCGTTCTATATTGTTCTTTAGGCATTGCATGAGACTGAATTTATGCCCTTTTTGTACAGGGACAATGCTTGTTGAACATGATTCCATGTGAAACCTTTCTCAAATTCTCTCAATATATCATTTTTGAGACAACCCCAACAATCCTTGTGATCTATCTAGGAATATTTCAATTCTTATCACATAGAATGCCTCTCCCATATCTTGCATTTCAAAATTCTTTGAGAGAAAATTCTTGGTTTCATATAATATGCCCAAATCATTTGCAGCGAGCAAAATATCGTCAACATATAAGACTAAAAATACAAACTTGCTCCCATTGATCTTCTGGTATATACTGTTGGAGTAGCTGCCCTAGAGCCAATCAATTATTGTGGAATTGACTTTTTGTAATAATGTTCATTAATCAATAAAAGGCATTTTATACTATATCGCGTAAATCATTATTATTGCAATATGTATTGATATATGTCCTTAGAATGGTAGAACCGTGACGAGGGTATCAAGTGTTTCAAATCTTGATAGTGAGAACCCTATGAGCACATATGGTGGCCATTCTAGAAACGTCCGTAGCCCCAGTATTATTCTGAAGTAAGGGCACAGATAATACGGTAAGGCTATCATAGTGTTGAACGACCCTGTCGAAAGGCAGTGACTGATCTCACTTGTCAAGGTTGTTTGGTGACAACCTGGTGCAACACATGGGTGTTTGTTGTAGGCGATTACACCACAGCAAGTTCACTGGACTGACCCACCAGAGGATTCCATATGGATGGTAACCCCAGTGTCTATGGAACAAATCCTCTAACGAATGGTGGTGCATGTGATCCTTAGACTTGAGATCACCGGAGCGCCTTGTGCACCGATTGGTGTAGTTTGACACTAGCCTAACGCAGTTCTTTTCAGAGCTGTCAATACGGTGGTGATTGGCTGCATCAAGGAGTGTATCAAGACTATGGTGGATTGACAGAGGATTTATCACTCCCGGGTACGGGAGAAAGTTATCTCACGGCGCAATTCAGTATATGGCAATGACACTAAAACTGTGGCCACAGTGGGATTGAGTTGTTGCTCTATCCAGTTTATAATACGGGTCATTGGTCCAGAAACTGAATAAATAATATCGAGAGTAACCGAAGGTTGACACTATTTCTATGCCTTCGTCTCGTCGAGATAACGTATGATGAAAGGATCGAATTGCACGGTAACCATATCGTTGACAGGTAGCTACTTTGCTGAATCCGAATCTATCGGGTGGCCATGATGCCTTGCTAGGGGCCAATCTTGGTCTGTGTATTAGTGAGACGATTAATTGGTGTTAATCGCAATACTATACACTGCCGATATGATGAGGAGCCTAAGGGTCACACACATAGAAGACAATTTAAGATGCAAGAAGAAAGAAGGGCGTTTTCGTCTTTTAAGGCGAAAGGGTATTTTGGTAATTTCACAGTGCAATTAAATTTGCTGAGGTCGTAGCCTTTATTTAATTTGTTAGAAAAATTAAATAATTGAAATTACATTTAAATATGTGTTCGCACATATTTAAATATATTATCATTATTGTTAAATGTTAATATATATTTAAATATATATTAATTGATTTTAATTGAGATAATGATGGAAAATAAAATAAATCAAATTAGGAGTGTTTGGCAACATGGGACGTTTGGGTTGGAGCCCAAGCCTATTCCGTATGGGATTAGGGCAAATTGTTTTTAATATAAAAAGAAAAGTGTGTGATTTTTTGATAGAGATTTTTTTCTTTGAAAAACAAAACACACAGCCCCCATTTTACACTCCCACGGCAGAATCCACTTTTTACCCAAAATCAATTCATTTGATTTGTCTTCTTGATTCTTAAGGCTAAGGAGGATCTAGCAAATCCCTCCTTAGTTCTTTTGAGATTGTCTTCATGTGGACTACGTGGGTTCGATCCTACACTTGG